GCAGGTTACATGGAGTTACCCTGTTGGACTATTCTCACTCGAACTGTGATGTGGGAGGTTGAAGGGAAGACTATCACAACACTGCTATCTCAAGTAACTTGCTGAGATTTCAAATATACAAAGACAATTCCAAAAGAAACAGCCTGCTCAGTGTGTGTTAAACGTACAATATCTACACTTTGATATCAGTCTAGGTGAGTGCACTTTTATTTGATGAATCCCGTAGTGATGTTGGAGTTCAGAGTGGAAGACAGGTTGAACTTTGGGTTTTTTTTGAAGACTACTTTTGTTACTAGAGTGTGTATTATTGTCAGGCAAGAGTAGAACACTCATTTTAGAAAAAGCAAGGAGGAACAGCTTGTTTCACCTCATTCTTTGACAAACATACTTTGAAGGGTTACTTACAAGTTTACTTTACACTACCTTCTTCTCCAGCTCTCCTTGTCTAAAAAGGAGACAATGGTTTATTCCTAAAATAAAGAGCTGGAAGAATGAAATACAAAGCTGGTATTTTCAAACTGAGAAAAAAGGCTTACGTTAACCTAAAAATCCATTAATGCAGAATTACAAACTCAAATTCTGATTTATAATTCCTAAAGTTACCCCAAATATAAAAAGTATGTTTTCTGCCTTTTGAACAGTTTGCTTATAATTCCATTGCAGCTTAATGATGAAGTACTGAAGAAATACTATTCCTTAAACTGTTCTAAGAAATTACAGGAATTATTTCTATGTTGCAGGGCAAGATGTTAACTCAAGTATTACTTATTTAGCTCCAACTTGCAGGGTTTTTTTAGCTAAGGTCATAACAAACAGCCTGGAAGTGATCACTATTAAGCCAAGCCCCCCCAGAACAACATACACCTAGACATTAAATGCTTTGTGGTTTAGAGGTGCTGACAAAGCACCCAAGCACAACCACCAGGAACCACAGAATCACTATTCCCTAACATTTTACAGCAAACTTGAGAGCTGTAATAAAAAACCTGCAAAGCATAGGCTATTGCATGCTCCAGGAAGCACCAGAAGAAATCAAGGCTGAAGTCCTCAGTTCCTGCATTTTCAAAATATCTGTTGATTAAATTTCCCTAGGAAACAGAGAACATTTCACTCCATGCAGAGAGGTGAAAAACTCCTACAAGTCCCTATACTCCATCGATTAAATCTGACCGTGAGAATTTAATTATGTTGGTCAATGTAAATGTGGGGAAAAATTCTTTCTTGACACCTATACTCCATAGATTAAATCTGACCGTGAGAATTTAATTATGTTGTTTAAGTGTACAGGCCTAGCTAAATTCTAACATGGTACCACCTTTCTATCCATGAATTTTCTATGTATTGTCTTGGTATTTCATTGCTGATCATTTAATAATATGCTCTGCTAATAGTTATCATTACCCCATTTTTCTGTACTTCACCATTAACTGATCTGATGGACTTGATTCATTCAAGAGAGACATGAAGACATGAAAACTGTAGCCATTTAGACAGAGACAGGATAATGCTCACACCAGAAGGCTGACACTGGTGCTTTTAGTCTCATTGATGCTGAGGTTTGCGTAAGATGAAAACCTAGAGAGCGGTGATCTGTTCCCAAAACTGACAGCTGAAAACCTGCCCTCTGAAAGGCAGCATCTCTGCAATTTTGGCAATCCTGCTCTATTTCCATCTGCCACATTGTATATACTGTTCTATATTTGTATTTTATTTATTTCTTTACGTTCCTGCACACATCTCCATCTATGATGTGAACTACCATCGCAAAAACTGCTGGTATCTGTCACATTGCTAACTACTGCACTTTTCATAAACACATCCTTAATTAACAAAGGGGTATGGCTTTACTTTAAAGGAAAGTTTTGGGATAGAAAAAAAAAAAAATCTTCATAACCAAATTTTAAGTCAAGGAGGAACAAAATGCTTCCTGGCTCATACTGGTTGCCAGAAGAAACACTGAAACACTTTTTTCATTGACTTCTTACTGTGCTTTCCCTTGTTGATATCCTTTCATCAGTCTTCATAACAGAGAACTGCATATCACTGGGATCTGAGCTCACCGAGGTCTGCAAGAAAGAAGTTCAGACTGAGAAATCAACAGCTAACGTAGCAAATATTGGTGATAAATAACTGCATTATTCCTGTCCTGTATATTTTAGTGTTAAGGATTGATATATAGGGTTGCTATTGCATATAGTACCAAAACTAAGAAAAAACTTGGAGAAAACATGACCTCGGTTTGCATCATAATAACATGTTATCATGAAATATACTGAAAAAATATCTAGAAAACAGAAATAAAAATGCAAACAGAGAAGGAACTATCCAGATTGAAGACTTGCAAGATGATATTATACAAACAAGGTCACTTCAATGCAAGACCTTCTTTGAAATTTGCACATTATGCAACAACTGTCACTGTGCAGAAGGACTGCGATGTATGTAAACAAACAGAATGCTTGATTAGAGAATCTGAGTGTACTTGGATGAAACACTGGAATCTGTCTCTCAACAATGCACTGGAGGTCCAGCCTAGGAGTAATCCTTGCACGTCAGAGGCAAGATTTTTGTTTAACCTATCTAAAGCAAAACCAACACTGAAAGTACTTCCTAAAGACCTTAAAAAAGTCATCTGAGAGCTGTCCTGTGCTGCTACTGGGGGAGTCAACCTAAGATCGCACTCATAGGATCCTCTTGCAACAGATACAGATCAGGATCAAGGATGAGAGAAGCATGTTTAGGCAGGACCACAGCAGAATTGCAGAGACTCCAATATCATAAATCACGTTGCATAACACAGAGGATCAGATGTTTACATATGCTCTCATCCTGCATGAGGTTTCCCAAAGGCTCCTTGTCCTTGAAAGCAGTGGGACTGAAAAGGCGTAAGCTCCCATAGGTCCCAGCTTTCTTGGGAACCAGGAGTTTTAATGCATGGGGGTTATAAATACTACCTGTCTTATTGTATCCCCTTCCTGATTGCTTATAGTAATCATTTTGTCTTCGCCGCCTAGAGCCAGAAGGTTTTCAGTACTCCAACAACCACAAGTAATCCGCTTAGTGTGCTTACCTGAAAAAGAAAGAAACCTATACAACACAAATGAACACAACAACAACAAAAGTGGGATAGAAATATGCTATATTTGGCTAGCAAACACAATGTCAAAATGTGAAACAACTTATCAGAGCAATTACAAATTCAAGAGTAATTTTTTTTTTAAATCCTCCACTCCCAGATTGAAGTTTTTTGACTTTATAGGAACTTGCACGGTCCCTGTTCTTCCATTTCTTTGCATCAAATTTCTGGGGACTCTGCTATATCCTTAAATTTTCTGCCCAGAGGTACTCTAAGCGGGTAATAAAAAGTAACTAACAAGAACAACCATACAAATCCTTTGCAGGAATGATAACACAAGTTTCCCATGAGGCAGTATCAGGTATGTGTATATATATTTTTAACTTACTATACTATAAAAATACTGTGGCAAGTACAACAAAACAGAAGGTGCAATTGAGTATGAGCACATTTTTGACTTGCATGTTCACATACAGAACTAAAAAAGAACCTAAATATATTAGCAAAATTCCACTTTCACACGTGCAAGCTTAGTTTCAAACCAACGCATACCAAGAACAGGAATCTTGCGAGAAGTCTGACGGTTATATATAAGTAAGTTTCCCTTTGTTGTTCCAACAGCAAGTAAAGTTCCAACTCGAGACCATAGTAAGAAAGACATTGCATCCCTATAATGAAGAAAAATTTTACTTTGTATAGTAGAGATTTCTTTCATGTGCTTACATATAGAAACACTTTGCATATTTGTTTTGAAGTTCTATGAAATCATACAGACCAAGCAAAAGTTCTCTACAAGTATCAGAATTATTTAAGTGTGCACGAAATAGTGGAAGTAATAAGAAGTTGTATGCGGTAATGTAGTAAGACTTGTACAAGTGGAAACATGTCTGCAAACATCAGCAGTCTTTGATGGAACCATGGGTAATTTGGCCAAATACGCAGCTTTAAAAAACACTCAAAAATGCCATAAAGGTATGTGAAAATTTCCAGTAATTTTCTGCATTGTGTTTTTGGACATCAATAATCCTATGAATTCAGCCAACTTCAAGTGAATAGGTCTAGTTCTAGTCAATGTAGTAAGAAAGTTAGAAAAAGCCATTTTAACTTCAAGTTTTAGCTACAGCAAGGCCTATTTTGGTGCATATTTAAGGGTACACAAATACTACACATCGCATTTAAAAAAAAGCCTCTTAAGCAAAACAATTTTAATCAGAATTTTCTAATTAGTGCAGTTATTTCCATCAATGCTTTCAAAATTGTAGTGTAAGCATGCAATAGCAATTTGAAAGAAATTTCAGCTATTGACACATGAAATGAGCTCCAATATTTATTTGGTCTGCCTGTGAGGGGTCTTGTTTGTGCTTTTCTAATTTCAAAAAGAGGAGGATACCAGAAAAGCCTGATTATCACACCTTTTAGATGTCCTAGCGCTTATTCTGCTTGAGCAGTAACACTGTGACAAAAGAAAGATTAGGCACTTAAATTGATAAATACTGTTCTAGTGAGACTCCCTCCAGTAAGCAATTTATCTCAAGACATTAGAGAGAAAGATCATGAAGGAACTGGGATAACTGCATATGCCATTCTGGTAAGTACCTTCTATGCTCTCTTTTGCTTGCATACTGGCAGGTTACTCTTCCCCGAAAAATATTTGTTCACACATGAAAAGAAGGTACAATATGGTCTATTCCTTCACACAATATAACGTGTATATATATATTCATAAATTGCTTTGATTATATAAATAAGTAGCATTTAAAACTGTCCTATCAAAAAACCCCAAAACCCTACTTGGAAAAACTTTACACACACACACAAAAAAACCCCCCCAAAGTTGATGTATTCTACCAGAAAAGACTGAAAACTATAATCATAACATCTGTGCTAAAAAGGCATATTGTTGATAATATGCAATAACTAATAAGTAATTTTAAAAATGTTATGACTAAGAAACAACTAAGTAATCCACAAATACCTAAACAAGATGCCTATATAGTGCTACATATAACTAATTAGACAGCAGGAAGAAGTAATCACTTTGAATTTCTCTTTTGTATGTACAATCATTTGCTTGTTTTGAAACTGTTTTCTAACGTTGTGACTAAACATTCTACTGATGAACAATCTTCAAAACATAACTTCATTAAATCATAGGTTAAGTCACTGTGTATTTTGTCCAAAGTGGCAATTCTTTTACTTCTTCAGGAATGGAATAAATTGTATAGAAGTTATTTTTTGTTTCAGTACAGCGTATGTTCAGTTTCTATGTACACATAGACAATACCAGGCTGTAACATATGGAAATATCCCATAATCAACTATCCAATATTCCAAATTACTTTTACAAAGCACAAGTATACATGTTAATGGAAATATGGAATATTTCCATATTCCAGATATGCAGTTTTCAACCTAAATCTGGAAAAAAACCACCCTCATAGAAAACAACATAACCCCCCCCCGCCAATTTTTCCAGGTGAACTATTTTTTTTATATTTAATGGATAAAACACTCCAAATTTCGGTATCTCTGATTACTTAAAAAAAAACCCCAAACCCACACAACCCCCCCCCCCCCCCCCAAAAACATACACAAAGGAAATATAGAAATGAAGGGTTAAATCAGAAGGAGTGTTTGTGTCAACTCAAGTAAATAAAGTAACAGCAGTATCCAAAATTAGCCGTTTCTCTGCTCAGGTGAGTGCCCCAACAAACGTGGGACAGATTTGTTTCCACTCTCTTTCCTACAGACAGAATGTTTATATGTAGAGTGCAATACTTCAGTGGAATAGATTCAAAGAAGCTAGAAGTTTAATTCTTAAACGAAGCTTATTTGTTAACCCAACGCTTGATTGTTATGTAGGCCTCAGGAGGGTTTTAAGTCTGTGGCCAAATTCAGGAAGGTAGGGATTTGAACCTTAGATTATCTTCTCCCATCCTAACCCCGCTGCTTTGTGAATGGCATTTTAGTCCCCTTATAAATCTAAGAGGAAAAAATCCCAGCACCACTAAAATCACTTCCCTTACTTTTAAGCTCCCTTTTATTTGTGTGAAACACTTTGGAGAAAGTGTAGCCTGCGCAGACAGACAAAAAATTCCGCTACCCTTGTTGCTATCACAAAGTGGAAACATTGAAGAGAAGCTCTTTGGGGATTTTGGCACTGTTGACAATTAAAAAAGAAACAAACCCCCTACCAACCCCAAACACCCTACCCACAACAAACACTTCAGAACCAGCCAATCATACCAAAAAGAGTTTAGCAACGAACTGTAGCATATTAGTTTAACAGTGTATGTGCTATGAGGACTCCAATAAAAAGATGATCTTTGCAATATATCCTCCATATCAACAAGGCACAGTGGCCCAAGTCTTCAAATACACACTTTAAAAAAACCCAACTTTCTTACCTCATGCCACTGTCTACTTGACTTGTTTTGTTTGTGTTCGCATCCCACAGGAATATGGCACTAGATTTGTCTGTGATTATTGCTAAAGTATCTCCATCCTTATCCCAGTCCATAGCAACACAGTTACTGAAGAAAAAAAAAGAGACAACTTTCACTAAAAATGTTAAAATATATTTGTAAGTGTACAGAAACTGCCAGAATTATTCCGTTGAAGTCCCTGTCCTTCCTCTTCCCTCCCAAGCAAACCCATGACAGACTGCAGATTTATCTGTAAAGTGTACTTTTATAGCAACCACACCCTTACTCAAATAGCATCAAAATGACAGAGGCTGAAAGGAAGGTTATAAAAAGACCGATACCTACATTCTAGTACTTGAAATACTGCTGCCTTGATTTTCAAGAGACTGTGAAAAATCCCTGTAAGGTTCTGTTTTGTTAGAAGCTATTGGGCATTGGGATTATTTTTCTCATAGTTCAACAAGCATAACAAACTTGGACAAGAAACCTATGTAGAAACAGGAAAAACCTCTACTGGCAAATAGTTCCCATAATGGAGAGGACAGCAGACTTACCCCTGCAGACTAAAAACCTATGCCATCTGACACCACTCTTTTCTTACAAGCTAAGTAAGTTGACAGTTTCAGGTTAAAAAGGTATCTCTATGAAAAATTTCACTCTCATTACCACTCAAATGAAAATCCCTAATGCAAGTGATTTCAAAACTGTCCTACATACATTGCTGTAAACTACTTCAGTAAGCCTTCAGTTCCAGTTTCTCCTCTCATTCTTTTAAAAACCTTAGCAGTTTATTTCAGGGAGTAAGTATGGTCTATTCCCAAAACACACCCATGAATACTTAACAGCCATTCAGAACATCAAGAACAGGAATAACAAGAACAGAAAGAAAAAAAAAATAGGGAAAAATGCAGATTGATAAGTAGTAAACAAAACAAATTCTATCAATGCAATGGTAAGAAGATGCTTGTAACATCAACTATTACAGCAGAGAATATTTGACATTCTGAACTCCGTTCTTATGTAAGGAGAGGTCTAACAGTTAACAATTGCAGTTGGTTAACAGTTAACCAACAAAGAAAGAAGCAAAGTTTGGCCTGAGGGGGAGAAACCTCCATGTAAGCACACTTGTTTCTGTTTAAAATGTGTATCACAAAAATGGAATTTTATTCTAATAGGAATAATTAGAGAGAATTTATTCTTCAATCACAGAAAAATGTTGGAAATAAGAATTCAAAAGAACTACCTAACCTGGGTAGAAGATTTGCTGGTGGGCCTCAGAAACTCAGTGCTATTCAAACTACCATAAGCAGACGTTAATTATTTTGACAAGCCTTTAGGATATGTGGTTATTATACAAGCTTTTTCTCCTCTTTGCCTTGCCATGAGAACACATTATTTTAAATCTGGTTTAGATGTTATGTTTCCCTGAAGGAATGGGTCATATCTGTCCATCAATACGGTAGCGCTATCAGTGTCCATCAGTAAGGTAGACTCTCCTTCACACCATCCTCGCCAACCCACACGACAGCAGAGGATCCCCAGTCCGACACAATCTCTTCTCAGAGTTCACCACTGATTCCACAGAGTTTCTTCACTTTTGGCAGTTTGCTGGAGACAATGAGCGTTTATCATATATTGTACAAAACACGGTGCAGAATGAGCTGGGCCATGGATACTACCAAGCAGAAGACACTGACGTAGCCAGCCCACATTATGAATGGAACCTAACCAGAACAGGGTTTTGAAACAAGACAGCAAGATGCGATGGTCAGTAAGATACAAGTGAGCCTGGTAAAGACAATGAGAATTTCACTTCTTGGTTTGGTGCAAGGTGACAACTACCATGAACTACAAAAACTGGATTTCTAGAGAGTTCTTGGGGAGCTAAGTGATTCTGGCTCATATCTACCAATGACACAGGGATGCATAAAAGACATTCTAGAAATGAAAGACTTCTAGACTAGAGGCTTCAGATTTAAAGCCTTAGTGGGAGTTTTGCCTCGACTAAGGGCTCCAGCTTAATCAAAATGAATCAGGTTGTTAGAAATAAAATAAAAAAGCAGGAATTTGAATGAATACTTAAGCTAAGAGCAGGTAAAATACTGAAAAGAAATGAGGAGTACATAAATGAAAATATCGCTACATCAGGTCGCAATGCTGCCCAATAAAAGTAGATTTCAGAGCAAAATGGTACGATGACCTTATGTCACAGTGTTTGCACCTAGGCAGGTTACCTCTGGGCCATATCCAGCCTATTCCTACAGACTGACTGTCTTTTTCTGAGTATCCCTCATAGCTTACTATGAGTTCAGCTTTTACTGTCTCAGATTCCATACATGCTCATCAGTTTGTCTTCCTGTATGTTCACCAGAGACAGTATCCCTTCCTGCAGTTCTCATACTGTATAAGCACCTCACCAGAATTTTTAAAGAAAACAACAAGGAAAACAATTTAAACCCATCTTAGTACCTACCCTGGTAAGCTGATTTCATTTCTCTTCTGACCATGTCGATCAAAAATTTTCACAGCACGATCACCTCTAAAAAAGATTAACATACAGAGTAATTCCCTTTCTTCATCAGTGATTTCTATGAACAAAACCAATAAATATTTGTAATCTTACCCTGTTACAGCAAGGAAATTTCCCAACGTTTTCTGCCAAGCAAACTGCACAGGGGAACCAGACCAAGCTTTTTCTAATAGACTGAATACTTGCTGGGAGACAAAAAAAAGTGGGAAATTACATATCTTAAAATCATAAGCATATAACAATAAACAACTTCCTAACATGTTAGCAACTCTGTGTACTGTGGAGGAAAAAACCCCAAATCCTCAAACACAACTTCTGGGTGATTCTAATGCACAAAAGTACCAAAATTCCACAGAAAAATCTTTTGGATTGTGCTGCAAAAACGGAATTTTCTGGTGCTGGGTGTCTGCATCAAGAACTACTGCGACTCTTTCACAACTATTATTTTTTTCCTCTTGAAGAATTACTGGAATAAAAAAAATTGCATGAGATTCTCCCCTTCATGTCCAAAGACCAGACTGTTTAGTTCTCGAAATTTCTTGGAAAAGTCTGGGACCAGAAAGCATCCTTAGCATGTAAAACACAGAAGGCTCAACATCTACAGTCTTAAAGATACAAAACTGTTTTGTTCTCTCTGAATTGCTGTGTCTTAAAAGCTCAAAGCTACTCAACCGTAAAAAGATTCCAACTTCTGACTAAGAAAGGTTCTTAAGTTACTTTTCCTTGCATACTACCTGCACAGATTTTTCTGTAAGCTTGGTGTAAGATAAAGCCCACAACTTTGTTTCACAGCTTGCTATCATGACTTTTTCCCTCCCACATCATCAGATAAACACCAACACCTGTGGTGTCTACCAGATGCCTGGCAGCCTTACTCAAGTCTTTGCCAAAGGTCCCCCATCCCTTGTTTTGGGTGACTGTAAACTGAGGCGTTCCGCACACTGAATTTGCATTTTACTCACAGAAAGAGTAACATTATGAGCACCACATGCCGCAAGCACAAAAAACATCTGACAAATATGTTTGATTTTGAAAAAAATTTAATAAAATCTGTCATAAACCAACGCTAAAGTAAATCATTATGGGAGCGCAGGCAAGCACCAGCTCTTCATGCTCTCACTGTACAGTAACGCATAAACTACATGTCCCCTCACGGGTTTGAGCAGGAAACTTCCCTTTCGGCCCCATCATTTAATCGTTGCCCGAGGCGGGTTTCTCGCACGCCTCCCCGCTGCCAGGGCCAGCATCAAGGCCCGGGGCACGGCGGCGGGAGACCCGGCA